TGTGTCGCGTAAGTTTCGTCGGTACGAAGTTACGGAAAATCAGTTAATTAAAAAAACGGAGACGTAACAGTATTTTCTATTCTATACCAAACCTTTACATGAGACTAAAGCCAAAGAAGCAAGCAAATAAAACCAGTAGAATTTGGAATAATACGGTTACACGGGAAATCCTAGGGGAAAGAGTATGCAAAAACCTCTTGTTTGTTCGTGCGTTGTTGGGACGAGATACCACATCTTATCTGCATAGCATATATAAAACGGATGTCTTAAAGAAAATAAAAGAATTCAATGATATCCTCAAGTGTTGACAAAAGTTTCACCTGTTGGAGAAATAATGGATGAAGGGGAGAAAGCATTAGTGTCAGTGTATGAAGGAAATAAAGAGACAGATACACTACATAACCTTCGTTTAAAAAGTTTTATTGCAAACTGCAACCTCTAGTTCATCTGCGAAAGCAAAATCTTTGCTTCCCACGTCTGCATGTGCGAAATTCCACAGTATTTGCGAGTGTACCATCAAGTTCAGAAGTGATCGATTGCTACTACCATTACAGGGGGGACGGGAGCCTTCTGGTAATCTAAACTTAACCATATTGATTGACCGTCCACTAGTGCCACAACATCTACTAGAAGTAGTAGAATGTTGCTGCAAAACAGATTGCCATATAATAAAGTCCACTTGTTGCAAACACAGACTTGAATGCACCCCAACTTGTGGTGAGGATCATATTGTTACCTGCTTGAACTCATCCATTGAAACACAGGACGCCATTGTTTTGAATTACTTTGCTGCTGGTGATTGAATTTAGGTAACTAATATTGTGTGAACGTTTATCTATAAATATTGTATATTAATAAACTTTATTTAAATAAGATACATAAAATGAAATTGCAGCACACGCTGTTTCTGTTTTCTAGAATTAATTAAGTCAATATTATGTTATAAAGATATCAAATAAGCAGTTTCGTAATGGAATGGCTAACATTAAATATGTTACGAAATAAAATATATTTTTAACTTTTGGTAAGACGTTCCATTATAATAATAAATATGCCTAATATATACATAAACAATAGAAACCACATTCGGCAGGCTGTACTCAGGGCAGACGAGCTAAATATAAAAATATGCAAATTAAGCAGAAATTACCAGGGTTTATCTTAGTAAACTTTGATATATGGACCTTATTACAAGTGCATTGTGAAATAAAAAACAAACACAGCTTTTTGTTGCCTTTATTGTGATATTTTGACCCTAGTTCTCTTGTACGAGTCAGCTGACTAAGATTGAAAAAAAGGTGGCATTTATTTTAGTTGGAACTTAATAAAACACTTCAGCATCTTGTTTGTTCTTAGAAAAAGCAATAAAATTAAACTACCAGCCATTAGATTTTAATTGCAATAGTACATTTTCGCCAATTAAATCACAATTTAATCTATTCCGAAAGAAAATCTTGGCGCTAGATTATGATGTGGGGTCGGGAGGTGGTGTTCATTTGTTTTGAAGCTGTCTAACTGACGTGACGTAGTAAATTAATAAATTGCTGACATTTGTTTTCAGAATTAAGTTGATTTGTTAAACATGAACATTGGCCTTGCAAATCCGCATGAAAATGGCCTGTTGTATGCAGGTTTCAATCAGGACCAAGGTAGGTATCGTACTTAAAAAATGTACTCTTTTCATTTATATATTATTAATAGTACTAATATTAGACTAGAACTTAGAAGTAGGAGTCAAGACTACATTTACAATTTAGTACTATAAAGTATAAGTAAAACTAAAACAGTAAAAAGTTCAGAATTAGTACAACTCCCAAGATTAACCCATTGTATGAATAATACGTTGCGAACCGGTCAACATTTAATTTTAATGGTGTTCATTAAATGTACCATTTCTTTATTTAAAAAGTTTTACAGTGTTTTAGTTTCTTGAGATATATATATATATATATATATTTATAAATTATAATTCACTTTCTCAGTTTCTATAAAATCTTTTGTCCCATGGCTAAGCTTAAGAAATAAAAGTTAGGTAAATTTTGTACTTTTGTAATGACCGTACAATACCCACACTTTCCAGATTTATTTGATATTTTTTATTTTGTTTTTGAACATTCTTGTTTCTTTGTTTTTCTCTTAGACTGTATTATGATGTACTTTTTTGTTGTTGTTAATTTGCAAGGCTTAAGGTAACAACTCGGTGTTTGTCATGGTTTTGTTCTAGTTTTCAGTATTTAATCCTGACCTAATACAAGTAGACTTTATACGTTTTAGCATAAAGTTTAAGGAAAATTAGTAAAATACTGAAGAGAAAGTAGATTTCTACAATATATATTTACAATTTAAAGAAATCAAATAGTGTGATTTTTACATTTTCGCTTTAAAAATTGTTAAAGTAGACCATGAACACCAAACTTACTAAAGGTAATACTTAGTCACTTATTATATATACACACACAAATATATTTGTATTGAATTTTTAGACAATGTTTTTTTTTCTTGAGATAAAGCTATTACCAAGTTTGTAGGAGAGTTTTATTTTTATATATTTTATTAGACAATTTTATGACGTACTATAGAAATTTAATTTCAGCATAAAATGTTATTCTGATAGTTAATTAGTGGCCTTATGAGAAAAAATTTCATTGTTAATTTTCATGTGATCTATATAAATCTATTTTTGTTTCTAGGATGTTGTAGTAAATTAATGTAAATTAGTTGAAGTTTTAGAGAGTATAAGGTTGCTTTAAATGTCTTAGATAGTAAGATGACTTCTTTTTATATATGTGGTAATGTTTAAAATGAATAACATAAAATATATGAAAGAAACAATTAGAAAGAATAGGCCACCTACATGGTCAAAGCAACCAGTCAACTAACAAAAACAACTTCGTACACTACTAAAATAAAGCAGACTGAATAAAATCAGGACTGCATCTAGTCTATAGCAGATAAAATTACGATGTTTAAAAAAAGAAATTCAAAGTTAAACTTTAATTAAGAGAAACATTTTTTGATCTAATAATTGTTAACTTGATACTTATTTTCATGTTTTGAAAATTAAAGAATTTTATCTTTTCTTTTAGACTTTCCCTAATAACAATCCATCTACATTATTAGATACAATTTTACACATTTAATTGTTCACATGATCAAAAATTGTGTAATTTAAAGTTTAATGAATTCAAATAGTTTTTGAAAACTGTGCTTTTT